TGTATTTTTTTTATGGCCACTTTCTTCCCAGTATGTGTGTCGAGCGCTGCACAAACTACTCCATAGCTTCCCTTACCAATGACTTAAAGAATTTTGTACCTATTTGCATCCCCGTATTCAGTGAAAAAGTCCATCTCTTTTAGCTCTTTAAGAATGAAAGAGAAACTAGATCAGAACCACAAGTCAGTTAATTTATCCACAGATTTGAGAAACAAAAAAGCAGCAGCAGCAGCGACAACACCTGAGTAATGATAAAACAAAAGCCAGTGCAAAAGCTATGAGAAAGTCATGGTCGGAACTCAAGACTTCCGAAATGAACAATGTTGCAGACTGGCAGCAAAAGATAACTGTTTAACCTAGAAGTTGCTTTAATGAAAGCCAAAAACCAAGAGTCTTTCAACTTCTTTAATCAATACCCCTTAAAGACGCAAAACTAAGACATTAAGAATAGATTCTATAGTCTATGCTTTGGGGAACAGAATGAGGTTCCTAATGTTTTTCTTAGCTGGGCCATTTATATTAGTCAAAACCGGCACATAGAATCTATCAAAATATATTCATTTCTATAGTCTTTGCTTTGGGGAACAGAACGGGGTTCCAAATGTTTTTCTTAGCTGAGCCATTTATATTAGTCAAAAACGACACATAGAATTTATCATACAAAATCAGCATGCGTTTAGTAAAGAAAACCAGATCGAAAAAAAAAACAAACCAACATTATCGGTAGCCATCTCTATCATACTATAAAAGAGGCAACAACATATTTATGAGTATCCAGATTAGTGAAAAGGTAATAATAGTCAGTAATTACTTCCAAGATTTAGCACTTAAAGTAATGCAATGAAATCGACATTTTAAAAGCCCTTAACTAGTAACACAGGACAATAACTACACTAATCTGATAACCATGATCATCCAACTAAAACACCTTTAAAGCAACAAATTCAGTACAAGGATATTATTTCCCTTTTCTTTTTACTATTATTTCCCTCAGAACATTAAAGCCAAAACCTAATATTTCAAGAAACATATTCTCAATTTATTTCCTTTCACAACACATATTCACAAGCAAAATAACTTAAAAACCTCAACCAATACCTTACTTTCTGCAAAATAAATTATAAAACTTTAGTAATTTAACTTCTAATAGAACGTCAAAAGGTCTATCAACCTAACTTTCGAATGCCTTAAAATCGATAAAACCTAAGCCAGATCCTTTCCAACAAGATATCAAGAAAAAAGAGAACAGCCTTAAAATTTTCATGTTAAAACCATGTTCAATGAAACTAAGAAAAGATAGGTTTTCTCAACTTTCATACGCAAAACCCAGATCTTGAAATAACAAATTGTACACCACCAAAGAAAAAAAGAAACTAACCTTCTTCAACTGATTTTGCTGCATCTTTCCTTCAACCCAAATTAAGAAAACACCCAACAAGATCTCTTCTTTTTTCCCCCTCTAGCTCTCCTTTCACTTAAAAAAATCAAAAGACCCAGAAACAGAAGCAACAAAAAGATTTATGGGTAACCAAACAGAAGCAGAGTAGAACTAGAAGGAGAAATTGAACCGCATCTAACCCCACACAAAATCCTGCTTTTAATCACCAACCACGCGCAAACAGATCAAAATTTTTGGCAAGTTCCTGAATTCTGGGTCTAATGAGAATCTGTAAGATATGGGAGATGAAGAAAAAGGAGAGAGCTCAAATGGGTTTCTCTTGGATCTCAAGAAAGGAGAGAAGTAACAATGGAGGAGGAATGGAACGATCGACGGTGAATGGAAATATAAATTACATTTTTCTGTTTCTTTTAAAAAAATCTGTTTTTTTACCGTTTAGTTCGGTACTTCGTTACGTACGGTAAATGTACATAAGGTAGTGGCAGTATTGTAATATTATAAGATTTTTCTGGTTATTTTTAAAGATTTACTAAAATAGGAATAAAAATAAACTTTGAGTTAATCTAATCAAATTATCAAGTTATTCAAAAATTGCTTGTAATTGGACCTGGAATTTTCTGAATTTACAATTTGACCTCTGAACATTTCTTTTATATATAATTTAAAATTGATCCAAAAGCTGAAACACTTCCATCATTCTTATCACTTCAATGCCAAATAAAAACATAAAGTTATATAATAGTACGAATAATAAACTACCATATAAGTTATTAAGATGATTCTTAATATCCATATCATTTTGAATGTGACTGAATTTAGATCAATCCTTCAACTTTTTTATAAAGTAATAGATCTAAAATTTATTTATCTCAGTCCTTTTTCATCTAATAGAATTTATTCGATATATTACAATATGAAGATATTAAAATGTCTGAAATTAATCACAACCACACAATCTATTATAATGGTTGCCTCGATATGTTATAACTTACGTACCTTTATGTGAATAGTGAATATATTAACTCGTTGACTTATAAAATATCGTCAAACCAAGTTAACCCATAAATGACCCTTTTAATATTGAATTTATGACCTTTGTAAAGTTGGTTATCATCCTGAAGTTTGACTGGAATAGTTAATGTTCTGTTTAAAAAGAGTATATATACCTCATCCAAAATTTAATTCAACCCAAAAAAATATATATTAAATGTTATGTAGAAAAACTAGGGTGGCAATTTGTTAAGTTAGGTCAGGTTTTTTATCGACCCAATTTGACCTAAAATATATACACCTCTACTTGAATTTAATTCGATCTGAAAAATATTGTTTTTTGATTTGACCCGACTTGAAGAGTATATTTCATCCACCCAAATTCGATCTGATATAAAATAAGGACTTAATTAAAAAAAACTATAGAGAGGGGTATTATCAGGTCTGTCTCAATAGATTTAGAGGTTATGTTCTACATTTTAAAATGAGGTATCTAACATATTTTATAGTAAGACGAAATTATAAAATATCAAAATTTACCATATTACAATTGTTTCTTATAAAATAAAATTCCAAATATATATAATTAAGACAATATCACAAAAAACTATATAATCGTAACATTTTATTTAAAAAGTATTATAATTTGAATACTCTTAGAAGCAAAATCAATATATTTTTTTAAAATGTGAGACCTTTAAAATTTTGGGTCATGTGACGTATCATATATTACACTTACCGAGAACGGATTTGGATATTATGGCAATTATCCATAAATTTATATGAGAAAAACTCATTGTTACTCCCGTGTTGGGCGAGGTCGAAGATTTTTCACCCTCCACCCAAATTCAATCCGACCTCACCCCTATATAAAATCTAACCCAATCCTATTCGTACTCGATCTTTCTTAAAAATCCGACTCTATTAAATTGAATAAAATCAAAATCTATCAATTTTAGATTAAATTATCGTCCCTAAGTAAAACTTACCGATGTTTAAAATTTTATCACAATGTTTTTTTTTTGTTATAGAAGCCAGAGATACAATTTGATGCATTATAAATTATTATAATTTCACATCATTACGAATAAAGATCCACCACGTCATTGATAGTCAACCTTTGACCTCACTTTTAACTAATTTAACCCAAAGTCGTCGTCCTCTAAAGTGACATACATTTTCCTGGGTTTTTTGTTTAGTTCTTTGGTTGAAGCAAAAAGGGGGAGAAGTCACGGGTGAGAACAATCCGATAATAAGAAAAAAAAAGATTACATTTTGTTGAAGGATTTCAAAGTGAAAACTGAAGTTGATGAAGAAAAGGGTTTTATTTTATGCTTCTGGGTTTCTATCTTCCACCACTACTCTGTATATCCCAAAATCATTCTTGAACAGGTTTAGCAACTGCTGCTCCCTGGTTTTGATTTTTTTTTTCTCTTGTTCATTCAAAATTTGATATTTTTGTGTTTGGGAAATCACCCATTTCTCGTTTCTTGCTGTTTTTTGTTATGCTTTTGTATTTTTTTTTATTTGATTTAATGAGTAGTTTATAAGAATTTGTTGGTGTTAAAAATTATCTTTCTTGGTTTGATTTCTTTGCTGTTTGGATGTTAGGAAAATACCCATTTCTTATTTTTCTGTTCCTTTTAATGATTTTACAAATGTTCCATATGTTTTGATGATCTTTTTCTTAAATTTGTATTAGACATTTACCTTTACTAGAGTTTTCAATTTCCATTTTTCTATTAAGTTCGAGTTTTTTTTTATATATATAAGTGTATGCAGAGACTAATAGCAGGTCCCCTTTACTTGTTCTCAAGGGAAAGACATTGATGCTTTTACCATTACTTGTCTACACAATGAAGCTCCTGGTTCTGGAAACACTGATTTACCATCGACTGTCGAGATTGAACAAAATGGAAACAAATGGATAAATGTCGGATACGAGGTATGCCTTTAAAATCTGACAAAACTATAAGCATAAAGGCATGATTGGTTTGAGAGCTGCACCTTTATTTGCAGTTTCATAAATTACTTTAATATCTTGTCATGGTGTTTGAATTGTTCGAGATAATTTTCGGAATGAGTGAACAGAATGTACATGTTTTGATTTGGTCTGTTTAGTTGCCTTGAATTCTAAATACTGATCACATGGAAAATTAGTTTTTCGAGGCATTGCAGTAGACATTGCATGTAGCTTTCTGCCTAAGGTTTCACTGTAGTATACTTCATAGATGAAAACTAGTTTTGTTGCCCTGGCTATTGTCATGTATACCGATTTTTCTGTTTTTCCTTTTCTTGTCAGGTCTCTTCTGATTTTGTGCGGCTTTACATTAATGGGGAGGTTGCAGGAGAGCTGCATCTTTCTTCTTTGTTAAACAAAGATTCCATACCAAATGGTTCAAGGAAGAGGACATTGATTGATATTCGTGGTGATAGAAATTTTCACGCTTTCATCCATGACGCAAAAGTCTTGCCTTCAACGTTCTCCATAAAAGACCAATATGTTAAGGTGGCTTACTTGTAGTTCACACGTTTCCTCGACGTTTTTCCATAGCATGTAAGTTTACCTTAAGGTTTAGAAAACTGATGCAAAAATATAATACCAGGATTCACCTCTAAGATTGTCAATCGATAAGTCTACTACCTCTAATATTGAAGAAGACCATGTTGGCTTCTGGCATATTTTTGGCGGCAAGGTAAATACCAAAGAGTTCGAAACAATTTTTACTTTTGAATCATAGCTTTTATGCATTTCTTTTGTGATATTATTAATGTATTCTTTGTATAATCCGAAAGTTATCATATTGATATAATTGAGCTTTGCTTCCTACTTGTTTTCATCATCTATTGTGAGATGCACATACAATTGTTATCAAATTTAAAAATGCATCCCAATATAGATGTCGGATTCCTATAAAAAAAATAGATGTCGGATTGCGAAATAAATAAAGTAATAGGTTGTTAACTTGCATGCCACTACTTTAGTCTAAGCAATAAATGTTGAGTGGGTAATTGGAATAGATCTTTTGCTTTTAAGTTCAAGCCTCATGGAACCAGCCAACTGTAAAGACATTCAAACTTGAAAGAAAAAGGATATTCTTATCTTAGTATGTAAATATTGCTGATATTTTAGCTTTTATCCCCAGTCTTTAGCATTTGATGCGGTAATATAGCCTATTTACTCGGACTTTGTGGTAAAGTCAAATTTCTTTTTCAAGATTTACGTGTACAAGTTTGAGTATGCGTTGAACATGGGCACTTATGTAAAAGTGAAGAGTAAGAGTAGCTTAGAGTATAGCTTGCTCATTTCACAGAATACAAGACAGGTTTTTAACCTTATTGATTCCTGAATGATATGATTTTACCGCTCCTTATATTTTATCTAAATTTACCTTTACACAGGCATCTCGTCGCCGGATCTTTTCCTTGGATGTTGTTTTATTAGATATCTTTGGGCAGCCAGTTAACAAGGAACTAGAGGTAATTTAGTCTTTATGCTTAATTTCGCGGTACTGTTTTTGCCTTCAATACACCTAATTTTTCACATTGCTTGTTGGAAAGGTCGTTGCATCGCTCTTGTATGCTTTTAATCGGTTACCCGTTAAGAAGATAAATGGTGAAAAACCACCTCTTCTAGTTAGCTGTGATGGTATTGAATTTGCCTCTTCTGACCGACCTAGTAAACTATCAAAGGGGCAGGCATCCTTTAAACTGAAGATCTCCAAGGTGGTAATATTAGATTTAGTTTGTGCAATATTTTATTCAACAAGTATGTTTCTCGGTAAAAATTTCTTCGAGGAACTTATTGCATGAGAAACTAGTCTGTAGTTTTTCTTTCTTCTGGAAGTCTTCTATTGCGGAAAATAATGTCTTCTGCTGATGGTAACCAACCCCGTATAATATAACTGCAGCTAAACTACTTCTTATAGCAGAGGTTACAATATTTTGTGTAGGTAGGTTGGTTGAGTTGAAGCCGGGTATAAATTCATAATGTCTCCACTGATACTTAAGCAAATAATTAAAATGTTCATTAATTCCAATCTCAAATAAACACATCTGATAAGGTTCACAAGCTTATCCAAAAGTTGGCTCATACGCATGATGTATATTGGCTGATTGGAAAATCAAGCTCTTAACTGGTACCTAAAGAAATTCATGGCTTGAGCTTGAATTAAACTTTAGCAAACCAAGCTTGATCAAAATTACTAGATTGGCTATTACAGCCTCTGGCAGAATCAATAATGACGGCAGGGAACTATATAAAAAAGGCAATGTGGAACTCTACATTGCATAGAAGAGTTTATAAAAAAGGAAGAAGCAGAACTCTCACTTCAAGATCCGAGAGGCCTGCAAGAGCCTGGAACATTTATACTTAGGTTTCCTACTTCAAGGAGTTGGCCCCACCCAGACGCTGGTAGCTTAGTTGTGACACATGTTGGAAGTGATTACACTATCCATCACCGGCTGCTTTCTCTCGATAATGTATATAGGTGCGTGTTTCGTGCTTTATCAAATTTCATTGTTGCCTTAATTTGAACTGTTATTAAGGATGTACTCATTTTTTTTTATAGGAATGGCAGGCCTCGATAAAAACCCCCTTCATGATTAATGGATCACAAAGTGCTCCTTAATCAGTGGAAGAAGGAGGAAAAGAGTGCCTTATAATTCATTAAAACCCAGAAATTACATAATACTTAGGGAACAGGTCATATAAGCTCCCTATACAAACCGGTCGAAAGCCTAAATTATAACAGAAACAAAACAAGGAAGCTAGCCAATACCAGCTTTTGCTAAGGCGTCAGCCTCAACATTTTAAGTGATTTGTTTATTATTTATATTTGAATCCTTAATAATTTCTTTGCAACACTGTACTTGATGTTCGTCAGAATACAGACGAAACGAACAGCATAATTAGGAATAATCATGATATACTAGACCTGAATGTGTATGTTCGGCTTTTGGATTGAGTTTTCCTCCTCTGTTACTTGGACTCGGTATGAATGTCTTGTACGGCCTTTTCCGATTTAAATGGTCTTTGGAGGGTTCTTCAGGGTTAAACATTAGTGGATACTTTAGGTACTATTGTTTAGTTACACTATTTATAAACATTTATCATTATCTTCATAAGATGAGTTTTATGGATAAATTGTCTCGTATCCTTCCTATATATAGATTGAAAGAGATTTCCTGTCTTCATTTTGCTTATAGTTCCGAAGCACAGGAAATGAATGTCGAAGTAAAACCTCTGCATGATGTGCTATTGGAAGAACCCGAGCTCTCTCGACTAGGAAGGTAGAAAACATCTCCACTTCAATTTCCTTCTTTGTAAATCAGACATGTCATGTTAATTTTTCGTTTTTAACCCGTAAAAATGCAGGGTAGTGAGACGCAATTGACCATTGCTCGGATGTAGCATTGTGTTTACTTGTTTGGTTCAGGATGACCATTGCCATTACCGCACTGCTAGTTTAGGTTTGCTCAAGAGTCAAGCCCCTTTTCCTTTATAAAAAATATATGTAATATTAGAAGCCGAGGCAGTGTCGTATCGTATCGATACTGTAAACAAGCATTGCACTGATGATGACATTCATGTACCATACATGCTGACAAGAAATCAATTTTGAAAAGTTTTTTGTTGTCAATGGCATCCGTACTCTATGTTTATGAAGTATTTTTGCCAGACATGTATTCGGATATAGATACAGAGTACGAGAATATAAAAAAAAATTAGCTGACCATATTCCCATATGTAATGGGGTAAGAGGGAGGTAGGATAGTAGGCTTCCCCCAACGCCAGGTTGAGAACAGCTTCCGTGGGAGACATCCGACAGTCAGAATTATGAATTGTCTACCGTGGGACTCGATCCTACTACCACAAGATTAAAAGCCTTGCGAAATTCTGCCGCCAAAGAAATTCCAAAGGTATTGATAATTTCTTATATTTTATGCACATTGAGCATTGCATGGATCATTAATTAAGAATGAAAGGAACCAAGAACAAACATGTTATAAAGCAGATTAAAACGAAAACTCCAAATCCTTACGCAAGAAGTCGCTTCAATATTTTTTGTGTTGGGTTTGTTTTGGATTAGCTAATGGAAATATTTGATGCTCAGCATGATAGCAAACCAGGTTTTTTTTTCTCTTTCCCTTCCCTCTTTTCCTATTTCGATGTTCATTTTGGTTATAGATGTAACGAATGTTGTTGTAATCTACTTTTTTTTCGTAAATATTAGCAGCAGAAGCTGAAACACCTCATCAAGAGGAAGCAATCGCCGCCGCCACTGATCAGCATCCGGTATTCAGACCCAAAAACCGCTGGAAATGGTGGCTTCTAGTGGCACTCAACATGTCTTCCTCCTCGCCGGTCAATCAGCAGCCATTCTTTTAACCAAATTCTATTTCAATCATGGCGGAAAAAGTAAATGGTTGGCATCTCTCACGCAAACCATCGATTTTCCACTCCTTTATCTCCCCCTTCCTCTTCTTTTGCTACGTTAACATGTTCCCGAGCTCCTTAAACAACATAAGCCATTGTCTGGTTTACTTTTCACTTGGTTGTCTGCTTGCCATCGATGACCTCTTGTATTCAATAGGCGTCGAACCACTTTCCGTTACGACATATAGTCTCATTTGTGCAAGCCAGTTGGTATTCAACGCGATCTTCTCATTCATTATCAACTCCGAAAAGCTCACTATCCTAATACTTAACTCAATAATCTTCATTACGATATCGGCTTCGATGATCGTCCAAAGATAAAATCGGGAAACCTCCTGTACGAAAGCAAGAACGTATCATCGCGATTCTATCAACAATCGGTGCTTCAGCATGCTATGCTTTAATGCTTTCTCTAACGCAATTCTCATTCGAATAAGTACTTAAAAAGGACACATTCCTTGTCGTGTTCGAAATGCAGATTTACACTTCAATCGTCGCTACTTTCGTTTGCATATATGCTTGGATTGTTTTTGAGTACGGAATTTATGGATTTAAAGTCCGAGATGGAGAAATTCAATGAAGGGAAGGTGATTTATGTTGCGATCTTGATCGGAACAGCGTTGGCATGGCAGATTTGTACAGTAGGAGTTGTGGGATTGGTCTATTTGGTGTCTTCTTTGTTCTCAAACGTTGTTAGCATGCTTAGTTTGCCATTTGTTCCGGTTTTTGGCGTGGTGTTGTAGGGTGAAAAAATGGATGCAGTTAAGGTATTGGCAATGTTGTTCACTCTTTGGGGCTTTGCTTCTTATATCTACCAACAATATCTTGATGAAAATAAATCAAATAAAAACGAATCCGAGCGAATTGAAGATTCTAAATCCGAACTTAACTCAATTGATTCGGATGATATTCAATAAATTTAAAGTTCAAACACTACATCTGTATTTTTTCCATTTTCAATTGTATGAAAATATTGAATGCAAGTGTGCACTGAGTAATGTCTAATATGAGTATTTGAGTATTTGGAGGACTCTTAAAAGAGTAACATATCGATATTCATATATGATATTATATCGGTCATGTATATTTCATGAAAAATGAAGAATCGGAGCAACATAGATAATATCGACTAACAAGTTCAGTTATTCCACTTTCTTTGAAGCACTTGGCAAATTCTTCCTGCAATGGTTTCTGCACTCGTTATGGGACCATTATCAACTGCAAAAACCAAGCCAATCTAAGATTTTCATCAATGGCATTGGCAACTAGACCAGTCAACTCGCCAATGTGGTAAAATTTTCAAATTAAGTTATCATGAAATCGTAAGTTTGAGAGACTAATTGAAGCATGGAAGAAAAACCAATTATATGATATGAAATCATGAACGCGTGATCGTCCTTTTTGGAACAATCTTCCTGTAAAAACAATTGATAAATTATAAAAACCAATTTACTTAAGCAACAGGTTCCTATATACATTCGATGGAAGGAAATTGTTGTCTTAACATTAAATTATTAAGTTTTGAAACTTTAGTCTAATTGCTTCTGTTTCAATATTATCAGATATGTTCTGCACAAGACCAACATTTTATCATTTTCAATCCATTCATTGGAGCCACCACAGGCATCCCTCTGTTTCAATTTTTATTACCTACCTTGATTCTTGCCAAACTCTATCTTTGAAAGAACTTAACCCACGATAAATTTATTAAAACGAAAGTGAAACACCCAGAAAATGCCGATTAAGATAGTCATTACAAGGTGGAAATACTCAAGGGAACGCTGCTGTAGGAGAGGATGCAGGAAAACATAATACATACAAAAAAGCACCCACACAACAATAGATATGAAACAGCTATAGAAAAGGGCCTGCCTACCACCATGCAATGAAGTTTTCTGCTCTCTCCACTGCTCGGTCTCCAACAAAAATCCGTCAAAAAGTTTTATTTTTTTACCTTTTCTACAAATCTTTGTTGAACTCTCACGTAGATCTTAATAAACCACCATGGTTTTCCAGTTATGAATACAATGTATCCCATGCTCAATCCCAACACCAACCCACATCCATACCCCATCAGTATAGAAAATTTCCAATTCAATCCATCATCATCATCATCATCATCATCATCTCTATCAAATTTGGCTGCAGTTCCCTCATCATTATCACAGCTTTTTGATAATGGCAAACCACATAAACCCAAGTTTCCTACGTAGGAATCATTACTGAAAGTATCCAATTGTTTGCCTTTAGGAATGGGTCCCACGAGATTATTGTGAGAAAGGTTTAACACCTCTAGGAATCCAAGATTTGTAAACTCTGTTGGAATTTTTCCATGGAGCTTGTTTGATGAGAGATCTAATGATTCAAGTTCTGACAAATCACCTAATGATGATGGGATAGGACCTGTTAAACAATTATGAGAGAGATTTAGGGCAATTAGTGAATGAAGCTCTCCAATTGTTTTAGGAATTTCTCCGGAGAATTGGTTCCTGGAGAAGTCAATATCTGTCCATATGGTTAATAGTTTCTCAAACTCTGTTTCCAACCCTTTTGTTGTAAAAGATAAACCTGGCACAGAATATACTGTTCCACCAACTATTACTTCTTCCATGTATTCTGGTTTAACTTTCTTTTCATTCACTTCTCTAATGGCATGTAAATTTTCAAAAAAATTCACATGTAGGTAGCCACTGAAGTTATTACGAGAGAGATCAATGACACGCAAACGAGTGAAGGTAACATCATAGCTATCCACTTCACCATAGAATCTGTTCGATCTCAAGACAAGTACTTGCAGCTGATCCAAATTTCCTAACCAATTTGGGAAAGTGTCATTTAAATAGTTGTTCCCAACATCAAGAAGCTTCAAATCTTTACAATTACCCAAAGATCGTGGCAGTGACCCTTCGACTTGGTTTTTGCAGATTAGAAAACTTTTTAAGCGGCAACCTTCAGCGAAATTTTCAGGTATTTTACCATAAAAATTATTCATCCGTAGGTCAACGTGTGAAAGAGAACTCAAGTTTCCAATGCATTCCGGAACTGTTCCATCCAAACTATTGTTCGATAAAGAGAGAGCCATAAGGGAACTCAAATTGCATAATGAGGAAGGAATTTGGCCTTGCAGAAAATATGAAATAGAGTTTGGATCAGAAGTTTGAATAATCTTTGAAACAAATAAAAAAATGCTTGTTAATTTACTTAACAACATCAGGCCTTTTCTTACAATACCATTTATGGAGCCTGAATCGTAGTAAAATATATAACTGTTTTTAAAATGATTTTAAATATTCTTCTCATTAAACAAAAAGATGACAATTGCAAATCAGTATACTTTCCAACAGTTTGGTATGTAAAACAAATATCATTTTTGCTAGAGAATCATCAAATATATTTTTGAAAAATTCACTTGGATATCACATGACATGCAACAAATTGCCAAATTTTGGACAGCAAAGTTTCCAACGAAATAAAAAAAAAAGTTGATATTGAAAAGGATTTTGATCATTTCTTTTTATTTATCATAACTTAACAATATTTAAAACTTACAATTAGAAAAACCAAGGAAATTTGGTTTAGTTCATTTTGAGTTGAAAAAAAATAAGATATTTTAAATTTAAATCATTTTAGAATGGATTTATCTGAGTTTAATATTTTAATGATTTATGTTTGAATACAAAAGGACACGTCAAATGACAAAAATTGTTATAATTAATTAACAAATATATAACAAAATAACAACAAAAAGAGGAAGGAAAGTTATATTATACCTGTCAAGTTATTATTCGAGAAATCAATAATTTCTAGAGAAATTATATTTCCGATAACCGATGGAATTGTACCTGAAATATAAAATTAAATTTGACTAAATAATTTGACGAAATAAGTATATTATCTTGTGATTGAGTATCTTTATGTTTATATTTTAAAAATTTAAGTAATTTTATATGTTCCGTAACTAGAACTAGAACTTGTATACTCTATTTGTCCCATATTAAATAATAGGACTCAAGGAATGCGTACAATTGCTTTAGTGATCTCCACATCCAATTGCAAGACATGAATGCGTTTTGTTATTTTCATCAATTCAAGACATTATATATGTTACACAAGTTAAAAAAATAAACTCAATGGAAAAATAAATTGTTAAAAGATGTATTATTTTTTATGAGCCAAGAATAATACTATGTTAAAAAAATAAATTGAAAATCTAAAATAAATTAAGACAATATAATTAAAAAATTTCAATGGAAATATCTCTTTTATATTTAAACACGTTACTAAGCAGGATGAGTCATTTAAGTTACCTGAAAACTTGTTTCCTGAGATGGCGAAAGTTCGAAGTGAAGTTAAATTTGAGATTTCTAATGACACAGTTCCCTCCAAATGATTATCAGACAAGTATATATATTCTAACTCTTTGCATTTGAATAAACTCATTGGAATTCTTCCTGAAAGTTGACATCTTATCAAATCAAGATAACGTAATCGAGGAAGATAATCGAACATATTGGAGGAGAGAGAACCAAAGAGATTGTTGAATCCCAGAGAAATTTCTTGGAAAGAGGACATGTTGAAGATTGACCAAGGAATGGGACCTGCGCAATAAATAATCAGTCCAACCTTTAACCAATTCATCTTTTTTCTTCTTCTTTAAATTGGGTTAACATCAAATAATAGGTTGATGATTGTCGTTTAAAGTCATGCATCAAGAACTAAAGTCATAGTTATTACGAAAATTGAATTTGAATATTTTATTATATAATTTAAATAATTTGTGATTTTAATTGAGATTTGTTTTAATGAAATAAAAACAAAAATTATTTACCACTGAGATTGTCATTTTTACCATTAGGTTTGACGTCAATTTATGGCAAAGTTCAACATCTCTAACTGGTTTCCTAAAGTTAGACGTAACACAGCTAATGAAATAAAAGAGAACGGGGTGCAAATGAGGAATTTTTTACCTCTGAAGTTGTTGTGACCAAGATGCAAAGATTGGAGCATAGTCAAATTTCCGATTTCTATAGGTATACTTCCTTCCATAGAGTTGTTCCACAATGATAAAAACATCAACTCTTTGCACTTGAATAAACTATTAGGAATGCTACCAGAAATTTGATTCCCATCCATGCTTAATACTTGCAATTTAGACATGTTATCAAATATTCTCGACTCTAGATGGCCTGCAGTGAAATTGTTAGTTATAAAACAACTTTTATCTAATGAAAATAAAAGAGAACGTGATGCAAATGAGGAATTTTTTACCTCTGAAGTTGTTGTGACCAAGATACAAAGAGGAGGGAGGAAGGGAGTTTTTGCCATAAGGTTGGGTGTGGGTATAATGCTTCTCTATTGTTAGTTCATTGTCTTTAAATAAGATGGATTTAGGCAGGGTATCCTTTGAGTCATAATTTGGAAAAGAATTAATAGGCCTAAAATGCAAGACTTCATGTCTGGACCCATATTTCACTATTGAATGATTTTCAACTCTCTATCGTTTTCTAATTCATGTCTTATGTAACTTACCATTTTAATTTTTTATTTTGTTTTGCAAATTATTCAAACCTGTACTGCAAATCTTGCTTCTCAACGTATTATTTGAGTAATTTGAATATTTAAATTATTACAAGAATTAAATTTAAATACTTTAATATGCAATTCGAATAGTTTATGATTTTTTTAATATATACTTTTATTATTTTCAATTAGTTCTAAGAAAATCTCAATTCAAATTATAAATTGAATTTGATCATAAATAATCTAACTAATTTATTTTAAGTATCATATTCAAGTAGTTAGATGTCTGAAATGTGAAACTAATTCATTTTTTCATAGCCAAAAAATATTACTATATTAAGAGACTAAAAAATTAAAAAATTACAGAAATATAAAAATAGTTCTAAGGTATTTGATTCAGAGAAGACTAACGATACAACTTATTTCAATATGTAGGTTATAACTTATTCATTTAGTCTGCCCTAATTTGATATTAAATAATTGGTTGATGGTTCAATTGTATATAAAAATTAGAAATTGAAGGAAAAAATTGGAATTGTTCATGTGAGAGTAGATGGCATGCAATGAAAACGTTAGTTATAAAATAAACTTTTGCCTAGTGAAAATAAAGTCATGATTGAGAAAAGTATGGTACCTGAAAGAGAATTATCAAACAGATATAAACATTCCAAGTTTGAAAGGTTTCCCAGAGTCATGGGTATTTGCCCTTGGAGATTGCTGTTAAACATGCTCAGTGTTTCAAGTTTTGACAAATTGCCAAGAGTGGACGGGATAACACCAGTGAAGTTGTTCATGTACAAAAACAAGCCTTGAAGTTTAGCGAAGGAACCAAACCATGATGGGATTTCTCCACTGAAGTTGTTGTTACCAAAGTTCAAAATTTTCAGACGATGCAAATTACCTAACTCAATAGGTAAAGAACCATGAAAACTATTGTTACGAATGCTGAGGGAGGCAAGGAAAGATAAATTTCCCAATTGAGATGGGATGGTGCCTATGAGATCCATACTTGACAAATCCAGAGCAGTGACTCTGTGGTGTCTGGATCCACAGGTGATACCAATCCAATCGCAAACAGAGGTAGAAGTGGACCAGTTGGTTGCTAGGAGATTGTGCGGATCGTGAGTTATATGAGATTTTAAGGCTAAAAGGGCAGATTGATCAGTGGTGATGTTGGCAGAGAAAGTAGCACTAAAGGTTGCAAATAGAAGCAGAAACATAAGAGGAGGGAGGAAGGGAGTGTTTGCCATAAGGTTGGGTGTGGGTATAATGCAAATCATGAAGAGAGAAACAACTGGGTTTAATGCTTCAGTTCAGTGTCTTTAAATAAGATGGATTTAGGTAGGGTGGCCTTTGAGTCATAATTTGGATAAGAATTATTAGGCACCAACCACAATACACGGCACATAATGGAAGGCCTAAAAGGCAAGACTTAGTCTCGAGTTGAAGAGTAGAACTGATATACATCTTTTAAGACTTCATGTCTGGACCCATATTTCACGATTCAATGACTTTTTTTCCTCACTATCGTTTTCTACTTCATGTCGTATGTAACTTACCATTTTAATTTTTATTTTGTTATTCCAATTATTCAAACCATGTGCTTCTCAACGTATTATTTGAGTAATTTTGAATGTTTAAATTATTACAAGAATTAGAAATTTAAATACTTACGAATTAAATTATTCGTATGTAACTTAAATATTGATTATAATTTGTAAAATATAAAACTAAAATATATTAGATCAATAAACATCAACTATGACATTTTCATAGTTACATATATGTAGAAACATGTGCAAAACGATATCAACGTAAAATAAGATATATGTAAGAAACGAGATTTAATGTGATTTGACTGTCTACTTTTACGAACAAGAAGAACATTAACTCTTACAAACATAAAGATCATGAAGGATGCAAATACATGATATCACATGTATCTTAAAATTTGATATCTATACCAAAACCCAAAGTATCCAAAATCACTCGCTTAATATCCTATAAAACTCATCTTTGTAACATAAACCCCAAAATATGCAAAGAGTACAAAATAAGTATTGCCTAAAATTCATCTTTGTAACATAAACTCTTAATATTTTTAAGGACTCTATTCCATAGGAATTATTGCCTAAAATATTTACTTATTAAATAAACTTAATTATCAAATAATCTTCGACCACTATAATTATAATAAAAGTCAACTTAAATATTGATTATAATTTGATAACTTTGTCACATTCACCCATTTTTCACGGTTGTACTGAACAAACAATCGAAACTGAAATTGATTTTATAATCAAATAATCGAAATTGAAATCGACTTTACTGAACAAACAAGTTAGGGGATAACACTCTCTCATCAAGTCATTGCCGTGGAAAAAAACACTCTCTCATCAAGTCATTGCCGTGGAAAGCGAGTCATATTCAAATGAAAATTACAAGTATATATTGTTTTTTAAACGATGATATGTTGTTATTTTTTTTTAATATTTAAAATGAAAGGTTTAATTTGGAGAATATGCAAAAATAAATAAATAATTTAAAATTTTATATCTATACCAAAACCTAAAGTATCCAAAATCATTCTTTTAATATCACTATAAAACTCATCTTTGTAATATAACCCCAAAATATGGAGAGAGTACAAAATGATTATATCTCTAAAAAATAATTCTTTTTATTATTTTAAAGGACTCTATTCCATAGGAATTATTACCTCAAATAAATATTTACTTATTAAATAAACTTAATTATCAAATAATCATCGACCACTATAATTATAATAAAATTCAATTTAAATATTAATTATAATTTGAGTCAAAATATAATTTCGTACAACTATGCAAATGTGAATGTTGAAAAAGGATAGATTGTCTTAGCCTAGTTTCAGTGGATTTCGAGGAAATTAGGGAATGAATGGAAACAAAGACTTAGAAGACTTTTAGAACAGAATTCACCAAAAAGACATTTATTCATAAAATGAAATTGAGAATAGTATTTAATGTAGAATGTTATTTTGATTGAGCATTGGAATCAAACAGTTCCATCAATCAACAAACTGTCACAATTGGAGTATAAGACATACGTAGAATTATTGGGCACAAAAGGAAAGACAAAAATGAAAGACTTAGTTTCAGTACTAGGGATGGGCATGGGACTCGAATCTGACGGGTTCTGATCCGACCCGATCGGGTCAGTTTTTTTTTTTAAATTCAGATTCAGGTCGGGTAGGGTTGAGTTTTTTTAAAGGTAATGTTCGGGTTGGGTCGGATTTGAGTTTATGGTGAAAAATATCCGACCCGACCTGACCCGAAAAAAAAATATAATTTTACCTTAAATATATTTAGGAATAATTACAATAATATCCCTCTATATATTTTTCAATTAAATCATTATTTTTATTGAATTAAAATAATATTTTTATTATTATTTCGGGTCGGGTCAGATCGGGTTCAAATTTTATCTCAAAAGATCGGGTCGAGTTTAGGTCGGGTGAAGGATGTAAAATTTTCAGTTCGGGCCAGGTTGGCCGAAACCCAACCCATGCCCCTCCCTACTCAGTACATCAATTGAGAATTTTATTTGGTGGTTACCTTTCCGATTCTCAAGGCTTTGATTAATTTTGACCGATTCAAGTTGCACATTTGGTTTTGTTAGGTGAGTCTTTTAGCGGAGATTTTTTGCATATATAAGGACTCGAACTCGAAACCTACTTAAGTGATATCAAGCTGATTACCACTTGAACTAATCCCGTTGATAGAATCTTATTTTGATTGAACATTGGAATCAAACATATTCATCATTTGTTACTTACGAGTAGTTTCAAACTTTGTCACATTCACACAAATCAAAAGCCAGCCTGTTTCACCATGGACTGTACCCCAAATCATACGTCTCAAGGCATCACTTAGGACCAAATGTCTGGACCCATTTTTCACGATTGGACCAATTAATTTAATGGTTTTTTTCATCTCTTTTGTTTTCCACTTGGTGTTGTAACTTTCTGTTTCAATTATATTTTGTTTTGCAAATTAGTACTGCAAAATTCTTCTGAAAATCTAAAAGCATCAATTACAAGTACATATTGTTTTTTAAATGGTGATATGTTGTTATTTTTTTAATATTTGAAATGAAAGGTTTAGTTGGGAGAGTATGTAAAAATAAATAAATAATTTAAATATAAAATATATTATCAATCAATCATCATAATATTAAATGTTTAAATTAATTTAATTTATTAGCTTTGTAAAATATAAAACTAAAATATATTACATCAATAAACATATGACATTTTCTATAGTTGCATGCATGTAAAAACATGCGCAAAACGATATCAATGTAAAATAAGATATATGTAAGATACGAGATTTAATGTGGTTCGACTTTTTCTATTTTTACGAACAAGAACATTAATCCATTATAGACGTAAAGATCATAAAACTTACAAATACATGATATCACATGTATCTTAAAATTTAATATTTATACCAAAACTCAAAGTATCCAAAATTACTCGCTTAATATCCCTATAAAACTCCTCTTTTGTAACAAAAACCCCAAAATATGTAGAGAGTACAAGATGATTATATCTCTCAAAAATAATTCTCTCATTATTTTAAAGGACTCTATTCCATAGGAATTATAGTCTAAAATAAATATTTACTTACTAAATAAACTTAATTATCAAATAATCTTCAACCACTATAATTATAATAAAATCCAATTTAAATATGGATTATAATTTGAGTAAAAAAGTAATTCGTACAACGATGCAAATGTGATTTTTGAAGAGGATCGATTGTTTCATTCTAGTTTCAGTGGACTTCGAGGAAATTAGGGAAGGGATGGAAACAAAGACTTAGAAGACTTTTAGAACATAGTTAACCAAAAAGAGATTTATTCATAAAATGAAATCGAGAATAGTATTTAATGTAGATTGTTATTTTTTTGAGCATTGGAATCAAACATATCCATCAATCAACAAACTGTCACAATTGGAGTTAGACATATGCAAAATTATCGGGCACAAAAGGAAAACCAAATATGAAAGACTTAGTCTCAGTACATCAATTGAGAATCTTATTTTGTTGTTATCCTTTCGGTTCTTAAGGTTTTGCCTTGATTAATTCGGACCGATTTGGGTCGCACAACTGGCTTAAGTGGGTGAGTCTCCCGGCGGAGATTTTTTGCATACACAATGACTCATTCGATACTTACTTAAGCGATACCAAATTATTTACCACTTGAACCAACCCATTGGAAGAATCTATTTTGATTGAACATTAGAATCAAACATATTCATCATTTGTTATTTACGAGTAGTTTCAAACTTTGTCACATTCACACAAATCAAAGCCAGCCTGTTTCACCATGGACTGTACCCCAAATCATACGTCTCAAAGCATCAGTTAGGACCAAATGTCTGGACCCATTTTCACGATTGTGCCAATTAATTCAATGGTTTTTTTAATCTCTTTTATTTTCCACTTGGTGTTGTAACTTTCTGTCTCAATTACATTTTGTTTTGCAAATTAATACTGCAAAATTCTACCACAAATCTTGGTTAACAACGCATCAATTAAGTAGCTAGTGCCGGCACACAAACTCTTAAAATATCATATCAACCATTTATTAGAATTGATCTTGACATATATAAGTATTCACGTAACCAGTGATTGAGCTTCCTTGAAGACGGGATGACTCTTCCCCCATCCCTAGAGAAGAAAAACTTGATTCGACTTGAAAAAATTGAAATTTTCGACTGGACTTGACTCGAAAAAACTTAACTCGACTTGGAAAAAAATTTAAATTCTAGTTGAGTTATAAAATAGAACTCGAATAACTCAAAATTTTTAGTAATTGGTGGATTAGTGTTCAAGTTTGAGTCGAGTCCCTTAACTTGGCATGATATATATATATATATATATATATGGTTATAGACATGGACAGATGCAGGAATTCAGGTCAGGGGGTGCGAACTTAAGAAATTATATAAAAAAATTTAGAGGGTACAAAATTAGACAATCAATAGAAAATACAAAGAAAAAAACTAGAATATAGGAAATTTAAAATTTCTAGGGAGTGTGACCCCTTCGGTCCATCCTGGTTATAGAAAATTGTTTAAATTGGAATCAAAGAAGACGTTAAAAAGTGAAAAGACCCCTGGAGCTGATACCTAGATAGAATCTAGAGAGGGAATGAAGATTCGAAAAGATTAGAAGAACCCTTTTCGGAGTATGAGATCAAAGAAGCAATTTAGAGTTGTGGGGATCCGAAGGTCCTTGAACCTGATGGATTTAACTTGAAATTATATAAGTTTTACTGGGAGGAAGTAGAAGGGAAAATTATGTAAGACGTTATCTGTTTTCTTCGAAGAAGGCAATTTACCTCCATCAGTTAACTCCTCTTGTGTAGCTTTAATTTTGAAGAAGTGTGATCCAACAGTTATTTCTGAATTTAGACCAATTAGCCTTGTTGGGTCAATTTACAAGATCATTGCAAAATTACTCTCAATGCGGCTAAGATTGGTGATGGGCCATAATTGGTGAGAGTCAATGTGCCTTCATAAAGGATGTCAGGGGGTTATCTTGAAATTGGATTTATTTTTTTTGTAAAAGGTCACTCTGTATATTAGAATATAAACAAAGTATACACCCCAAGGCCCTCATTAAAAAACCTCCCTAATCCTACTCGAAGGCTTGAAATTGGATTTATCCAAGGCCTATGACAGCAATTTCAAATATGACAGCAATTTCGCTAATCTTTTATTGTAATGTCATCTAGAAGATGGCAAAGAAAACAACACCATAACCATTCATCATTTCTTTGCCTTTTCTAACCAACCAAATATTTTACTAGAATTTGCAACACAGAAAACAACAACATTCATCATTTCTGATCAGTCGAAGCAAAAGATAACACACTCTTAATTCCATATCAATGCATAAAAGAACGGTTATCTATTTCTTACCTTTCTTGTTCTTGTTCTTCTTGTTCTTGTTTGGAGCTGGAATCACTCCCATGAATCCCTGAACGCAATACCGTAATGAAGATCATGAGCATCAGCAGTGGTATGCAATGCAAGACCTTCTCATCAATCAACTCATGACTTGTCATAAATCACTCAGGTGGTGTTTGTTTTTACTGTGTAAGGTCTGCAAAGCTCTTATGTCTGCGTCGTGCAGACCACGCGCAGACATTAGGCTTTACAGACCGTTTGTTTTTTAGAAAACAAAAGCTCTTCTAATGTCTGCGCGAGCTCTTCTTGGTGCAGACATGGTTTTATGTCTTCAAATGTCTTCAAATCTCTTCAAAGAATATTAAAATTATTTAAATCTATTTTAAAATTTATTTTAAAATATGGATTGATTTATTTTAAAATATGGATTGATTTATTTTAAAATATGGATTGATTTATTTTAAAATATGGATTGATTTATTTTAAAATATGGATTGATTTATTTTAAAAAAATTATTATTGTAGTTGTATGAATTATTTAAATTTCAGTATTATAAAACTAAAATTATTTAAATTTCAGTATTACAAAACTCTTTTAAGTTTAAAAAATCAGTTTATTTATATTTCAGTTTATTTTAGCAGTCTGCAGACGTTAAAAAACAAACAGTCTTCTTCTTGCAGACTGCAGACTTTTGGTCCACCTCTTCTGCTGCAGATGCCTACAGATGTGGTCCGCAGACTGCAGACCTTTTACCTCTGCAAAAACAAACACCACCTCGGTTTTCTTCTCCCTCTTCATCCCTTAAACCACCAACTCGTTCTAATCCACGGCATACTTTATATTAATATTAAAATTTCTGTTTTTTTTTTCTTTTTTTGCAAGAGAAATAATTGAACAAGAAAAGGGTGTTAAGTTGTTAAAACAAACCTATAACTAAATTTCTAATATATATATATATATATATATATATATATATATATTTCTAGCATATCCTTAGTTTCTTTGTTGAGCACTATAGTCATTTGTTTTCCTTTTTTTTCTTAAACAACAATATATTTTATTTTATTTATTATTTATGAAAGCTACAAATAGTTTTAATATATTGGAATACATTGTGTTGTACAAATTGAAAACATGAGATGAAATATAAGAGGCTTTGGATTGTCTGCTCGGTCGGTAATACTTTATAGCTCAACTGCAAGTTGAGGTGTTGACGCCGTGTAGTTTGGTTTTGAACTGAATTTGTATAAAATATTAATTTATATCATGTTTTTTTTAAGTAATTATATTTAACGTAAAAGAAAGTGTTGCTCCTCCAAAAGATTTTGGGTTCGGACAGTTGCATCTATAGAGTGTACGTATTCAATGCTAACATGGAATCGATTGAAATGCATCTAACATCGAATTCAGACATATGCAAGCAGTTTTGTCACAATTCATTCGTTGGTAGCTGCCGAACTCTTTAAGATCATTAAACAAATCGCAATGGAAGCCATTTTTGTCTGCATTAACTTCAATTACAAAACATAAAATTGCCGGCCATGGCAACTCCCTCTTGTTTCGCCTTGTGTTCTTCCCATTGTCGTCAACGTACAGCATTATTCTAGATTCCAATAAAATCCAAAGCACCTCTTCCCAGATTTCTTAATCTTACCTTCAACGGCAGCCATGGTGAATACGAGCTTCTATCCTCTACTCTTCTTCTTCCTCCTCCTCTTATACTTCTTTATCTCATCTTTCTCGGCACCCATTGATCGGAGAAATATCGTGTCGTGTCTCAATCGTCATTATATCAGCAACTACACCACTTCCTTCGACGTTCACAACCATGACTACGATAATCTTCTCAGCTTTTCGATTCAAAACCTTCGGTTTTCCGACCCCATGATTCCGAAGCCGGCGGCTATTATCTTACCGAATTGGTTGCGTCCGGAAATAGGGAAAGAAAGAAACCGATGAAAGTTTTTACCATCCCTTCGACACAACAGAGTTGCGATCGGGAAGTCACCCAATTCCATCCATATGTCTTAAATGGCTAGGTCGATTGGTTAACCCGATGTTGGTCGGGTAACTCGTGGCCTCACCGGTGTTTTTGAAGGACTTACCCTGAATGTTAAGAACGAAACATAATTAAACTTAATCGATGACGAATTTGACAAGTATAGAATTTAGAACGAAAACTTGAGAACACGCCTGATCGGCTGAGTTCCTAGCACCAATCCACTACAACTTAATGCAACAATGGCACTTTCCGCCTGTCCAAAAACAGGAGTCCAGTCAAGGCACAAAGCCAATTTAATTCATCGATTTTATGTGCATGCAAAAAGAACTCCGTATGATGATTGATTTGGTGCGCACACATGCATGTACGACCGATTTAATGTAAAAGTATATGAAGTAACATGTCGTAGTGGAAAAAAAAAGCCGTAATGTCGGAAAAGAACTCTGAGATAAACAAACAATCAGTTTGATCATGCAACCTGATCTTGTAGGATTCCATAAATGACATAGTAGTATAAAAATGAAAAAAAAGTTAAGGTTAGAAGCTTCTCCAGCATTTAGCTGATCTGTGAAAAATCGAAGAGATTTAAGAATCACATAATGGAAAAAGCACGTTATCGAGTGTCTTGCAGTTACATACGTCAAAAGTTGGGCAGAGACTAAACATGGAAAGCTAAATTACAAAGAATATGACCTCGTTTTAAACCATTTGTCGTAATGGCTGCAAGCTCGCTTACATGTAAATCAGGCCGGCTTTAACAATAATCTCACACAAAACACTTGCTAAAATCGAGCCACTTTATTTTAGTCATGCATATCACCTAACTTAAAGCGTCTAGATTTTCAGTAATAGTTTGCAAAGCGACATGGATGACATATTACAAAAGTTTTATGCTTTGGAGATTTAGCTTTCATTGTTTGATAGCATCCCTAGGAAAATAAATTGTGGCTTGTTTTAGTTGCAATATGAAAACCTTGAATTAGTTTCTGCCTCCCTCTTCTGATTCTCCCTTACCCATTTCATGTTGAATTAGATTATGACTTTGTAAGTAAAGCATGCTTGTATTTGTTAGGGAAAAGCAGTGACAAAAGTGAAAATGGCTCAAAAGGAGGCCCAAGGGGTTGCAGAGAAGAGGAAAGGAAGAAGGGAACCTGGGAGTTTAATTAGGTCCAGTGCCGCTGCTTGTGTATGTGCTTTTCTCGCAGTATATGGAGTTGGCGGGGAGGCATTTACACGACTTTGGCGACTTGGTTTTGTTGCCAGTTTCTGTACTAAGTTGAGTGATACCGTCTCAAGTGAGATTGGGAAAGCATATGGCAAAACAACGTAAGTAGTGCGTCTCTGTTTGTCAAGGTGTAGGCTCTTCAAATTAATGTTATTAAAACTTCTCATAGTTCACTCTAAATAAATGATAGTTTGAATCTAGTGGAATTAAATCCCTTATGGTCTATAATTGAGTGCTATTGTTGTCATTTATGCTGCGCTGGTTACAAAAGTGTGTGATGTGCCAAAATGAACAGATATCTGGTCACAGACTTTCGAATTGTTCCTAGGGGAACGGAAGGAGCTGTCAGTCTTGAAGGAACAGTTGCTGGATTTCTAGCATCTGTACTACTTGCCTCTATCGGTTGTCTACTGGGTGAGGTAGTACTTGCTATTTACTATGAATAATTTATTCTGATATTCAAGGATGCCTGCTCTTTTAAATTACAAATTACAAGCATCATTTAGTGATCATTAGAAGATGTTTTCACCTCAGAAAAACGTTGGAATTTATTGCTTTCCTGTAACAAAAGACTAGTTGGTAGTGATGTTGAGAACAATACTGGTGGGACGTCATGCTGGAATTGTTTTATGGATATAATTGGTTGGATGTGTATTTTAGATGGTCAAAGATGATTTTCTGTGGGAACTCTTAGCAAAAATGGCAGATCTTGATATATTTATAAATGGGATCTGACATTTTAGTTTTAGGTTTGTACTTGGTTCCTTTTGAGCATTATTTTGCCAGGAGCTTAAATTTCAATTAATGCTGTTCTGGTATTACAATTTGGTGATGTGGATAGCGTTTCTTTGGATGTGAGTGGATGAGATTCTCACTCTAGCATAGGTGCATCCCTAGGAAGGGTTTCCCAAATACTTTACGAATCCTTGATATTGGTCTTATTGTTCATAATGTTGTTCATGACACAACCTTGATACGCTTTCAAATCGAGAAATGATATATTGATTCTCGACAATGATGATTATTTGAATCTATATAAATGTTCTACGCCACTTCTTTCTTCTTTCTTTTTTCTGCTTGCTAGTAGATAAGTGTACCTGAGGTGCTGATATGCGTAATAGCTTCTCAAATTGCTAATCTTGGTGAGAGTATAATCGGTGCTTCATTCCAAGGGAAAGAAGGATTTCGTTGGGTAAGGAATTGTTTGAATAATAAGATGGTTTCTGTCATCCTGTTTTCTAACCCTTCTTTTAAAAAAATTATTGCCTGTGTGTCTTGTAGATGTTAGTGTTAGGAAGGAATTGCCTATGTGGTGTAGCAAGGAGATGATTTCATGTATGTCCTTTTGTTGGAGTCTAGTGATGTTTGGATCAGGCAGCACTGCAGAAAGCTGTAGTGAGCAAGAATCATATACCCTTTTTTTTTGGATGATCAAATAACTAATTTAGAGATATCAACCTGTTATAGAGCTGCCTTCTAAAGATTATTTTTCTTGTTAATTTTCTGTTGGATGAAAATGTTTTGTTATCCATGTAGCGGCCTGTTATGTTACTTAGACTATTTATTTTGCTTGAAGTATCCAAATACATGGAAAAACCTTTTAAAAGATAAAGCATCCGTGTCAGATATACCCGTACCAGACACCCTCTCTCGAGTTTGAGTAAAATAGCTGCACTGGCCATATATAAACCTGTCTTAAGTTCCATGTTCTAAGCATCTTTCATTTGTTTATCATTGGAAAGCTGAAACTCTGATTCTTTGATGGCATTTCTTCTTGCAGCTGAGCAATGATGCTGTTAATGTCATCAACATATCCATAGGCGGCATTTTGGCAGTCTTAATGCAACAAATCCTCCGGAACTGGCAAATGTAAGTTCACCCGATCGTCGCTTCCACGATCTCAGGTAACACGAAAGAATTCGAAAAGGGAGGATATATAAAGTGATGGGAAGAGAAAGCCTTCAATATCATGGAAGAGAGGGAGACAGAAACTGCAATTATGGCAATGATTTGGCTAACCTTGAAAGATTGTCAATGATGTGGAACATCACTACCATAACCAAATTGTATCAGAAAATATATCTTTTACAGTTTTGGTTTAGGGTAATCTAAGATGTTGTCCTTCCATCGTTTCCATAACCAAAACCATTGGATTTTCTTCTTTTTTTCTTACCAATGGAAATGATGATTAAAATCTTAATATTTTTTTTAGGTGTTGATTGTTTATGTGTATATCATTGTTGACGTGATATTGTTTTCTTATATGTTATATTAGTAAATAATTTTAAAATTATAAAAATATTAAAAAATTAATTTATAATAAAATAATGTAATACGATATAAGTCATTTTGTCAATAAAATAATTTCATGTTAAAATAAAAAAAATATAATTTTAAGGTAATATCTGTTTAAAGATAATTTTAAACCATTTGATATTGAACCGTTGTACCCTTGGTAGTTCAAGTGCTTATACTCTGGACCTCAAATAAAAATAACAATTTTTTTATCATCGAGATCATTGGAGTTCGTGTAATATTAAAAAAATAAATTTATTGTTATATTAATTAATTGAAATATTAATAAATTGTTAACTAAAAATGTACGACTTAAAAAATTAATGGTAAAAAAATTTATAATTAAATTTACATAATCAGTCGAGTTAAATTATATTTTTATTCTTATTTTTGTATATATTATGAACCCTAACCTAATTTAAAAAATCTCCCCCCATCGTCAGTTGCTCAATTCTTTCCCACGTCCTTTAGCCGCCCCATCCTATTTTCAAAAGCAAAGATCCGCCAACTACGTTAGCTTGTCTTCTCCTACATTCGTTCCCGGGCCAAGTAACACTGCGGTTTATTTCTTCTTTTTTTCGTTTAAGGGTTTTAATTCCCAATGTTGCTTCTTGTCTTCTGTTTTTAAAATTTGTGTTTCTACTGGTTTGTGCATTTTGACTAAAAAGATGTGATTTTCAATGGGTAAGTTTTAGTTTCTAGAGAAGGTATGGCTGTTCCAAGAGAAGATACTTAAGGACGTTTGATTTGGTTATTGAAAAAAGGCCTTTTATTTTTATCATTTTGTCATGTTAATGCATTAATTATTTATGGAAAAGACAATTCATTCCAGCTTGAATATGAATGCATTTAATTGAGTTTAAGTTCAAGTTTGAATACAAAAATTGATATACTAGTTTCATCAAGTTCGATTTTGCAAGCTTAGAAATTGATGTTCGATCAAGTTCGAGCTTACCACTATTCGAACTAGGCTCAACTGGATTGCAACTTCAGTTATGTAATACCAATTGTGAAGATCCAGAGGAAGAAGATTGATTTTTTTTATAGTTGGTAGAATTAAGTAATATGATGTTGTTTGAGATTGTTATGCTTAAGTTGTTTGGTATGTTCAAGTTTTCTTTTTGGTATTTTAAGTTGTTTGGTTTGTTTAAGTTCTTTTGTTCCTTTTCGATCAAAAGGAGGTAGATTGACAATGGGATTACCAAATGCGAGTGGGGACTTTTCGACCGAAGTAGAGGTTGATGCTTTCAGACGCCTCTTTCCTCTTCGTTTCTTTGAGAAACATCTTTTAGAATCTATACGACCTGATGCTCGACCACTCGAGAGAGCCAGAGATACTACCATTACCCTTGGCTAGTAAAGGAAAAAAGGAAACAGCTATGAAACTTTTCTGTGACATAATTTTCTTTTCATGCCTGAGCTGATTCCTCTAATATCGAGTGGCTGTTGCATCTGCTAATGGTTCAGCACTTGCAAAAATTGGTTCAACTGTAAGTTTATCACTTTCTCTAAATACATGCTGCTTTACGTTGCCAAGCAATTAAGCCTAGAGTTGATAATTTGTTTCTTGTGTTGCATAGACGATGTTGGCTGGTATCAAATTGGAAGTCATGACCCCTTCGTTGGAAACACCTGATGAGGGTTGCATAGGTTGGCTGCCATAAGTTTCATTCTTTACTATCTCTCTTTCTTTTCTCAAAACCTATCTTTTATCTTCCATTTTTTTTTTGTAATTTCTTTCTCATTTTCAGCAATTGATTTCCACACGCCTCCAATTTATTTTCCAATTGATAGGCCTGGCAGACCGGCTGAGGCAGCACCAGTTGTGGCAAAGCAATTATCTGACACTATTCTAAGGCATACCAATTTGTTTTGTCTTTGTGTGGATTCAATTCTTATCTTCATCTTCACGTTTACTCATGATTTCTGGTGTTGTTAGCTGGGTATTTGAGTCTTGAATATTGAAACTTTGAGTTTGCCTTTCTGTTTCTCTCTATCCACTTAAGCACACTGCTCGGTTATTTTATCTTAATTTGTTGGTGGTTTTGTTTCCTCTGATGCTCTTCACACTTATAATATGTTCTGTTTGAAAACTGTTTCACTTTGATTCATTTTTCTTGATAATTATTTTCACAAACATCTTGTCACATGTGTAACTACAGCTCTGGCATGTTTAATTTGAAGGAACTGTCCTTGGTTAGTGGAAAAGCTGCTTGGATGGCCTATTTGGTAGGTGATTGTGGTTTTAAAATGTCTTAACAATCTGTATAAGAGTTTGAACACAAGCCATTTAGTGTTCAAGCAAGATAATATGGAAACTCAAGTAGTGTCATAGTGCCTTTCGTATCCTTGAATATGGAATTAACATAGTATTCTCTCTTTTTTTACAGGACATTTACTGTTTGAATGCTGACGGTGCTCTTTTTGATGCTGCATTATTTGCAGCTGTTGCTGCATTTTCTTATTGTAAGCGTTTCACCCGTGCTTCTAAATATAATAATACTTGCCCAAAACTACTTACCTTTTCCATGAAATCAAAAATGGGAAGTGGAAAATTGCAATGGTGAAATCCTTAAATCTTTTTAAGAGAAATTTTATGCACCGCCTATGGAATTCTTTTTAAGATAGGATGTGAGGTCAACTACATGTTATGCGTGTAATTTGTTTTCTAATATGTCATAGTTGAGTAAGAGCTTAAATATTTCACACATTTTAATCTTGTCTACCTTGCTTTTTCATGCATAGCCTGTATATATTATCAGGTCTTGCTATTCCGTTGCAGCTTTAATGTTGACTAATAGATTTG